TATCTTCAACAGATAAAACCACAGTTCTTTGTCCCATCAATGCTTTGCCTCTCTATTTTTCATCTAAATGTCATTCCTCAGACCCTACTCTTTCATACACACATTATCTGGTATTTACATCCATATACTGTGTTTCTATATCATTTTCACATCCATTTACTGTGTTTCTAGATAAATGGATTGAAAAAACTGTGGTATATATACCCTATGGAATACTACTCAGCCATAAAAAAACAAGACCCTGGCTTTTGACAGAAAGTGGGAAAATATGGAAGTTTTACTGCTGAGTGAAGCAAGCCAGGCAATTAAGGAGAGACAGTGTATGTCCCCACTTAATATATACTGAGTGTCCACACTCTATGACAGAAACTGATTGATATAGAAACACAGTAAATGTTTACTTCTTTGTAGGAGTTGAATTTGGTTTGAATGGTCACCTGCTCAGGGCTCATGTGATATGAGCCCTGGTTTTTTTTCATCCTAAAAACAATGGAGGAGAGGTTGTAGCTCATCAGAAAAATTCTAGGATGTTTGCCAGAGGGTGATCTGTACATATACTCTCATAAAATCCAGACTACTAAAATCTTGTTTAGACTAATTGGAGTCTAATCTTGGTAATTCATAAAGTGCACAGATGGAGTCAGACAGTGGCGTGGTTAAGGTGTCTCAATCACACATGGCCAAGAAGGCAACTTGAGTCCTGTATGAGCAGCTTACAAAACACCAGGTAGGGCCAAATGTGGTATGTTGGTGAGGTGCTGGACTGCCACATGACTGGCTGCATTTCAAATCCTGGACCTGGTGGCTTGCTTTCTAATGTTCCCTTTTTCTATCTCTCTGTCTATCTCTGTCAAATTTAAAAAATAAATAAATAACATAAATTAATGATTAAAGTAATACTGGGCACATATGTGTGCCTGCCCAAAATTTCAAATGCAGGGAGAGATGGAGAAGTGATTGCATCATGACCATTTCCTAGGGGCGTGATTTCTCACATGTGGGAGTCCAGTGCCCTTACCACCATACCACCTGCTGGCCCCTTGTAGGAAGTTTTACAAAGGCAGTATATAAGTGGATTCTTGGTAGTGATAATGGTAGTATAAAAGGTATGCATTTCTCCATGTTTATCCAAATATGTACATTAAAAATGTACAGTTTTTGTATACTATTTACACCTCAATAAAGCTTTTTAAAAGGGAAAAATACATTTCATTCTTTGTCTTTATTTTGGACTTCTTTTAGTGAAAATGTGATTGAATGTGACAATACAATTAACAATTTGTGACAAAGTATAAATTTAAAACTTACAGATTCTAAAGAGCTATTTTTGTTTTTGTTTTTACTAGTACAAATGTGTTTTCCACATTTAAAAAAAAAAGAGAGATAGTGCAAGAGGAAACAGGGAAAATGCTTCCTACGGGAAATGGTCAGTCTGCAATCTCTTCTCAATTTCCCCATCGGTTTTGGATTTTGAGCATGCATGCATACACTCATGTCTCGCATGTTGACTAGGCCTCTGGGACTTGAACTCAACTCATGTGATATCCAGCTGCCTTACTCACCAGGGCATGGATCCAGCCCACAAAAGTAGGTATTTTTTTTGTTTTGTTTTTTGTTTGTTTGTTTGTTTGTTAAGAATTATCTATTTAATTTTATCTATTATCACTATTTTTAATTTGCTATAGGGCATGTATGCTCATGAAAGATAAACAGAGAGAAGAGAGAGAAAGTAAGAAATCAAACTGCCAGAGTCAGGACTAGAGCCATGATTGGTCATCTGAGTATTTAGTGACATAACACACCATTTGCTTGTCACACTTAAGAGATTTTTAATAAACCATGTTAGCCCCATAACTTTTGGATTGATGACATTATTTTTCAGAAAATAATTAGCTATTGATGTTTATGCAACTGTACTTTCAGTCTTTTAATTATTAGAATAGTAACATGCCAATATTCTCTACACCTACATAGCCATCTTGACAAAATGACTTAATTTTCCAAGAGTCAACTTCAAACTTGCTCAAAGTGTAATTGAAATGTCTTTCTTATTAGTACAGGTGAAAATCAGAGAGAAACTAAACTTTCTGTATTTATTTGTATGTATGTATATTGTATTTACTTGTTTTGCCAACAAATTTGTCTAATGTATTTGTCCTTTTTTGATAAAGATGTTTCATACAAAAGTTTTGAATTTAGTGTTCATTTTTTAAAATCATTAATTCTTTTTATTAAGTATTATCACAATATTTTTAGATTTTCTCTAGGGCTTATGTAATTAACAAAAAGAGACAGAGAGCAAATGAGAGAGAAAGTGAGAAAGCAAACCACCAGTACAGGATTTGAACCACATTTGACCATGTGGAAATACAGCACCTTAATCATTCTGACAGTTTTTGGTTCCATGATTTAGGGTTTATTTTAAATTATAAATGTACTTAGAAACCAAGTAGACTACCCTGAGACTATATGTCTCAAAAGTGGTTTCATATTTTAAAATTAGATCACCGTTCCTTCCTCCAGGATTTTTGCAAACAATAAAAATACAGTTAAGTCTAAAAGAAATATCTTTTCATGAGTCATGTTATAATATTATTTAGGACTTATTCTTTTCCTCATCAAAAGTATTGCATGGAGGGATTAGGCCATAGAATCTGTATCACTAGGGATAAAATAGATATGGTCATTATGTCAATATTCTCTGATGTTGGATGCATTCCTAAAAAACACATTGATTTGACCAATTTTAATCTACATTTTGTCAAGTTTCTTTTCTTGAACATTTTTCAGTATTTCATTATATTTTTACTAATGTAATTTATTTTAAAAATTTGCCAGAGGGTGCATGTACTCTCCAGAGAGACAGAGAAAGAAAGCAACTTTCATGAGAATGGTCATACAGCAATCCTTTCTCTTCCATTGACAAATATGTGTTTAGGGACACACACATTTTTGGTGTGTTTCTCAATCTCTGGATCCAAAATCTGAGCTGCAAGGTTGGCCATGTGGAATCTGGCTATATCCACCACCACGCCATGGAACCACCCCATATAACTTAATATCTAATTCTGTAGTGGCAGAACTCTCTAAGTAGAAATAATCATAAACCATATACTTTTGCATGAAAACAAACATAAAAACTTTTTCAATTTTGTCTAATTATCTTGATTTTTGAGAAGAATGCATAGTATGCTGTGTTTTTTATTTTTTCTAAAAAACAAACAAACAAACAAACAAAAAAACCATAAAACCTCAACTGGGACCAGTGAATGACATAATAGTTATATCGCTGAACTCCAAGCTAGGCAACCATAGTTCAAATCCTGGCTGGGTGGCTTTAACCACAAAATGGGCACATCTGTGTACCTGCTCAAGATTCTTACAGGGGAAAAAAAAAAAAGGATTGCAACATGACCAGTCCCCCTGGGATAAAATTTCTCACTTTCTGTTTCTGCCTGACCAGCTCATACACCTAATAGCAAAAATCTCTCTCCTCTCTCTCTCTCTCTCTCTCTGTCTCTCTCTCTCTCTCAAAACCCTAAGCATATGGTATGGTGGTTATGATGGCTGGGGTTTCCACATCACCTACCGTGATTTGAGTCTTGGACTCGGTGCCTTGAAAATCATGCTGAGCACATATGTGTGCATGCTCAACCTACCAAGAAGAGAAGGGATTATAGTATGGTCATCTTCCCTAGAAGGTAAATTCTCGCTTTTTTTTTTTTTTTTTTTTTTTTTTTTTTTTTTTTGCTCTCTCTTCTCTGGCAAGTATCCATCCCCTATGGAAAAAGCTAAAACAAAACAAAACAAAACAAAACAAAACAAAACAAAACAAAAAACAGAACAAAAGCAAACCACCAGGGGTCAGGAACCAGTAGATGGCATAATGGTTATGTCACTGGACTCCCACTTAGTAAACCAAGGTTTGCGTCCCAAACCTGAAGGCCTAAAACTCACTCCAGGCACGTGTATGTGTGCATGCCCAACATCCCAAAAGAAGAATGGAGGAGAAGGGATTTTGGGATCACCATCTCCCCTGGGGGTGATAAGCAAACCACCAGGGGTCAGGAACCAGTAGATGGCATAATGGTTATGTCACTGGACTCCCACTTAGTAAACCAAGGTTTGCGTCCCAAACCTGAAGGCCTAAAACTCACTCCAGGCACGTGTATGTGTGCATGCCCAACATCCCAAAAGAAGAATGGAGGAGAAGGGATTTTGGGATCACCATCTCCCCTGGGGGTGATTTCTCATTTTCTGTCTCTCTGTCCTTCTCTGTCTCTCTGGTGAGGGCACATGTCCTATAGCAAAAATCTCCCTTTCGACCAGCAGTTAACATAATGGCTATGTCGCTGGACTCCCATGTAGTTGACCATGGCTCGAATCTCAGACCCAGTGGCTTAAACTCACCCTGGGCATGTGTGTCTAAGTGCCCAAGATCACAAAAGGAGAATGGAGGAAAAGGGATTGTGGTTTGGCCTTCCCCCTGGGGGGTGACTTCTCACTTTATGTCTCTGTCTCTGTATTTCTAGCAAGCACACGTGCCCTATATCAAAAAACTCTCAAAAAAATCTCTCTTTAAAAAAAAAAAAAAACCTTCATTAGTCAGTAGGTGGTGTGGTGGAATGTGGACTTCCTCATAATTGACCATGGTGTTAGTACTAGACCTAGAAGCTTGAAAAACACACAGACCTGTATGTATGTATGTATGCCCAAAACCACAGGAGGAGAATGGAGGAGAAGGGATTGTGGTGTGGCCATACCCATTGGGAGTCATGTTTCACTTTCCCTCTCATTTTCACTCTCTGATGAGTGCATGTGTCCTATGACAGAAAACTTAAAAAAAATAAATAAATAAAAAATAAAAATAAAAAAAGAGGAAATACCTCCAAATACTCTCAATGTTTACAAATGATGTTTACCTGCCAGGGAAGAATAAGCTGGTCTGTATCTCCTGGAGATCTCATTTCTATTTTCTGCAAAAGAATCTTATAAAGAACTTGAGCCACCACATGCACAGCATGATAGATAAAATAGCTGGAGTCAGACACGGTCATTATGTCCAAATATGACTGCAGAAACTCTAGGGAAGAATTTGGTGGGCAGTCTCCAATTTTGCCACATAGTGATCCAGCAAGTGCGCATAGAAAAAAGTGGGCCCAGAGTTTACTGAAGTAAAAATCTTCTGGATATTGGGAAGGGTTCACTGTCCTGAGAAATTGTTTAAAGCCAGGAATTTTTCTTTTTTGGTTTGAAAATAACAGGCTTCCATGGAAAAAGTATGGAATCTTAAAAGTGGTAAAAATATGATTCCACTGTGGGGAGTAGAGATTTCTCATGATCCATACTTTCCCCAAAATTAAATAGAATTCTTTTACATGTCCCAAATTCCAGACACTCCCTTCATCACCATGTATTATATATACATTTGCAGATGAAACTCTGATCCTCGTCCTAAGAATTAAGTCACGTGGAAAAAAGACACCTTTTGTGGGAGGGAGCTTTTCTGTAAAGGCCACACAGATACCCTTTTCTATCATTTTTGCCTTTACATCCTGGAGGAACTGCTCCCCTTGCATATCATCAGATACATAGAGTGCTACCCATGTCCAGCCAAAATGCAGCAACAAGCAGATGATTCCATGAGTCAGAGAGCTGTCCTTTGTGGCCATCTGATAAACTGATGGAAATTGGTCTTTATCACTTAGGATGGGATCAAAAAGACCATATGTGACCTGAATAAGAAAAGAAATAACCTAATTTTAGCCTTAGTGCAATTTTTGATTGTCCCAATTAAATGGGGAGGAGATAGTACTTGAACTGATAAGACCATAGATGGGATATTGAGTGAAGAGAATGCATGCTGTGGAAATGACAATATTCTGTCATTATGAGCATCAGAAGACTGTTGTACAGTCCCATTTCTTTTGATATAAGGCATGTGACTAATCCAAATAACAGTATCACTCCCAGACCAGAACATATGAGAAAAAGTATAAGGTTCAATACTTGTTTTAATATTTACAGAGGAAACTGAGGGATGCATATATTTATAAAAATGGTGCAACAAGATGTTGGTGATTTGCTCATCCTGAGCTCATGTGGATCAGAGACTTCCTTTCCTAGAAACCAAGGATTAAAATATCAACTCTGAAAACAAAATATTGTATTGGTTTTTTGATTCTGTGGTTTATCACCATAGCATAACCTATATTTTTTTTAAAACACTAATATTTTAAATATATTTTTTTCAGAGCAGGATTCTCATAAGCTAAGTCAGTGTTTTCCAGTAATATCTCCTGAAACTTGTATTAGATAATTTCCCTTGAAGAATCTCTCAGGTGTAGGGTTGTTATGTCAGGAATAACTGGAAGTGCTTTGAAGACATCCACCTGCATAGATGTGAGGAAGGGCAGAGGGAACTGGTAAACCTCAGCTACTATAACTGAGCCATACCCAATTTAGAGGATCTCCAGTGCTGGAATATCCTTTATTTGTTCAATGACATAATGAATGGAAAAGTTTTTATATGTTTGTATCTCATTGACATCTGAAGGCCCACTGCTACTGTGCTCTCCTGAGATAAGGTATATCTCTATTTGCTGCATACTGTTTAGAAGGCTTATTTAAGTTGGTCTTCACTATTCCCATCAGAGGAGGTTGAATATAATGGTCATGGACATAAATTTTGATGAAATTTAAGAGATTCTACTTCTCTACTATTTTTTTTCAAGAGGTTTTTGCTATAGGGCACGTGTGCTTGCCAGAAAGACAGAGAGAGACAGAGCTACAGAAGTGAGAAATCACCCACCAGGGGGGATGGCCACACTGCAATTCCTTCTCCTCCGTTCTCCTCTCTGGATCTTGGGCATACACACACATGTGCCCAGCGTGAGTTTAAGCCACTGGGTCTGAGACTCGAACCATGGTCAACTACATGGAAGTCCAGTGACATAGCCATTATGCTAACTGCTGGCCCCCATCTACTTATTTTTGTTAGAGAAAAAATTCAATCATGCATGCTTGCCACAGAGACAAAGAGACAGTGAAAAATAACCACACATAAGTAACAGTCAAGCCAATATTCCTTCTCCTAAACTTTTTTATTCTTGGGATTTTAGACCTACAAGCACACATGACAAATGTGTTCTTTAAGCCACCCCAAACTTGAACCATGCAGTAAACCATGAGGAACTGAGCCTCATTAACCACTATGTTACCAGCTGGCCCACCACTGCTTTTTTTCTTTCTCTCTCCTCTTTGTACTTTTAGCAATTTCATCACTTAAAAAAATTCCCTGTGACCTTTTCTCTCTGTTTAAGCAAATTGTGTCCAAACAACAAAGAGAGGTGTTGAGGGGCTCCAGGATTATGTAAATCCAGCTTCTGTATTTTCTCTGCTCATATGTGAGAGGGTTATGTTATCCAGCTCTCATTCCCCAACCTGACAACCTATTTACCTGTGGACTTTTGTAGAGCTCCAAAAGAGTTCCAACTTGGGCTGAAAATGTTGGCATATTTCCTGCAATGATAGCAACAGGTTGTTTATATGTCTGGCAATTGTAGTTTGGCAGCAAATGATTCCCTCCAGAGAGCAAAAACAGAGCATTTTCTAAAGTTCTTCTGTCACTGGGAAATGCATCATAGAATACATAACCCAAGGTAATGTTGGGTAGCAAATGGGGACTTTTATTGATCTCCTCAATGGCAAAGTAAAAGGCCAATACATATTGGTAGTTCTTCCACGTGAACCTAAACAGAGGGAGCAACATTAGAAAATAGAGTCAAGTCATGTGATTTAGGGCAAACTCTTCAGCCAAGACACAAGACATACAGGTTTAGGCCTAGACTGCCATTCAGAGATTTTTCTGCACTGGCACAAGTAGCTGGTGTGAATGATATTTCCAGGGCCCTAGAAAATCTTGAAATGTTTTTCTCTGTATATAAGCAAGTTGTTCCCAAAGTATGAAGAAAGGTTTTGAGGACCTTGTGAGTGAGATGAAGATTCATTTAGCTGTATGAAGACACTGTCATGTAAACAGAGGTAATTTTAAAGGAGGATCATTAATGCATGGGGAGGACAACAACTTTTTTTAAGGATATGAATGAGGAGTGCACACATTCACCATATTTTATACATTTCAAAAATGTATATATAGAGGCAAAAGATAAGTATTCTTATAAAATACAAAATACTTTTAGGATTTTAAAATAAAACATGGAACAATTGGACTAAGATAGTTAACATGTTTATCATCTGAAATAACTTATAATTTTTTTTTTTTTGGAGAGGTTTTCGCTATAGGGCACGTGCACTCTCCAGACAGACAGAGAGAAACATAGAGACAGAAAGCGAGAAATTACCCCCTGGGGGGATGGTCACGCTGCAATCCCTTCTCCTCCATTCTCCTCTCGGGATCTTGGGCGTGCACGCACACATGCCTGGCGTGAGTTTTAAGCCACCAGGTCTGGGACACGAACCGTGGTCGACTATGTGGGAGTCCAGTGACATAGCCATTATCCTAACTGCTGGTTCCCAATAGCTTATAATTTTTTGAGGGGAAAATTAATATACTCCCTTGGCATGACTAGAATGAATAGTACTCAGTTATGAGTTACATTCCCCATGCTTAAACTCACCTTCATAACATTTTTAGAAGTGAATGTATCCCACATACCATCTTGTTTCTATGTGGGTCTTCAATAAACAAGTATTAAAGCATTTCATATTTTCCCTATGTCTGGAACCTCAACATAGCGTCTGGTGGGGCGAGCAGGGGTCATGGTGGTTAAGGCGCTAGACTTTGAAAATAGGGTGACTATGATTCAAGTCCCAGACCTGATGACTTGCTTTCTCAATTTCTCTCTGTCTCTCTCTCTCATTCTGATGAGCATATGTACTCTATAGTAAAATCAAAACAAAATAATAGTAATAAATAAAATTAAATAAATTATTTTAAAAAAATAGCATATGGCTTGCCAACTTTTCAACCATTTAGCACATTTCAGAGATGTTTGGTGACTTTTTCTATAGTTTATACACTACTAAAACAACTGTCTGAAAATAAGTGCTATTAAATTTGTTTTTGTTAAAAATTAGATATTTAATTCAGATCTTCTAGCTAATTATTGACTGCATCATGTCTTTTTACCAGTTTGTAAAAACATTTATCTCTGAAGTTAATTGGTCTTTATATTTGTTCACTTTCCACTTGGAAATTCTTAGGTTTTAATGAATATTAGCTAATATTAGCTATATTTTAAATTTTTAAAAATAGCTCACTCTTTTATTTTTTTTGAAATTATTGTTATGTAACGTCTTTAATTATTTCTCCATTCTCAATGAAATTATTTTGGTCTTCATTTCTTAAATTTCAACTTTAATTTAAACATTCATAATTTTCATTTTTTTTCCTAAAAGGTTTTTGCCTTATTGTACACACAATTGTCTGAGAGAGAAAGAGACAGTCAGAGGGAAAAGAGGATGGACATGCCACAATCCCTTCTCCTTTATTCTGTATTTGGGATTATTGAACAGACAGGCACAAATGTGTTTGGCATATTTTCAGGTCACTTTATTCAAACCTCGTATGCCTTAACCCCCATGCTAAATTAGGAGTTAGATCTCATTTTAGGTAGATAGAAGATGAGCTCTGCATAATGGCATTTCGTGGCTTTGCTTTCTCTGGCCTGGTATAATTTCATTGTGTCCCCATTCCAAGTCTCAGAGGAATTTATGCCTCCCTTTTGCTGAGCTAAAATCAGACTGAAACCAGTCACTATCTTGAGTATGAACAGTGAATTTCAAACAGCTGGATCTGCAACTCAATCTGGGACCATGTGGTATAGTACAACAGCTTAACCACAATGCCACAGACTGGTTCTGATTGTTAAAATGTAATCACATGAAAGCTCTCCTGGTACAATGTGCATACTTGCATGTAATCCATGTAAGTGGATTTGGCCAGAATCTTCATTAAGTATAATGCTACCACTTAGTAATTTTTTATCCAATTACTCCCACCTTTCTCTTTGGGTATAAATAACTACTTGTCCTTGTTAAATTCAGATTTGAATCTAATATTTCTGAACTAATTTAAAATCTCACAGTCACACTTCCCATATATATTTCAAGGCTTTAAAAGAAGCAGTCTTTATTCTGCTTTAAAATATATTGAGGGACCAGCAGTGGCATTGTGGGTAAGGTGCTTAATTTCCATATGAATGACAATGGTATAAGCCTCAGGTCTGGCAGCTTGAAAATTTTGCTGCACACATGTGTATGTATTCTCAAAATCTTGAGAGAAAAATCTAGAAGTGATGGCAATGTGATCATTCTTCCTTACTTATATATGATGGTGGCCTTTAGACATCCATGACTTTTCTACAAAGTACAATGATACATTCCCCTAGTCAGCAGTCAGCACCCGGATTCAGTGCCTTAACATTAATGTCATGTCAGGGGGTCAGTGTCTCAAATATGCATGTGGGCCTCAGTATACAGGTATTGATGCTAAAAGGACTGAGGTCCCAACAATTTCACTCATTCTGAGCCTCCCAAAGACTGAATATGTGGTAGTGATGATGGAGTGGACAACAAATTCTATTTATTTCTTTCTTCTCTCTTGAAAGAAATGGAGAAACTTTGAAAATAAGAAAAATAAAGATAATAAAAGGATAACAAGGCAGAACACCCTGAGTTCAGAATTCTGCACATCTCTCTTTTTTGTGATACTTGCTTATTCTCAAGTGGGATTAATCATACACACGTGTATATATACCAATTACATTATTACAGTTATAAACACATTTTCATATACATATAACCAACAACTTACCAATTATTTACCACTTCTTGAATTGGCCTTATTAGAAAACTTCCTTTATGTACAGATTGTATTTCTGAGATATAAAAAGGGAAAAATCCACCCAGTATCAGGTCTCCATCCTTGTAAACACTTGGCTTCAGGTATCTAAGACAGCTCATATATTCCATCGCACATGCTGCTTGTAAAGGCTGAAGAAGTAGAAAGACATTAATCAAAGATAATGACATGTCTGAGCTGACACAACACAGATAAAAAGCCCTATGTGTGGGAGCTGAGAAGGAGATAGAACTGGATTGTCAGTCTGTACAGTGCATGTCATTTGCCAGACAGACAAGACAGGGGCATAGCTAGAAGCATTAAAAATGGCATTTCCACAGGAGTCGTGCTGCTGAGATTCACTCTTAATCTGAGCAGCTCTGACTTCCCTGTCTTTTAACTGTTTCACTTAAATCCCATCCAGAAGCTCTGGGAATTTACCTGCCCTGGGGCTCTGCACCTGTCGTCCACCATTTCGGTAAAAAGAAGAAAAAAAAAAAAAAAAAACTTGGGTAAAACATGTTTTGAACTTTTTTATTCCCTAGACTTTATGATTTCATAATGGCCAAGTAAAACTTTGGGGATAACTCCACCCTTAGACAATAAGCTTTGTAATGTTGTGACCAAGAGCAGCCAAAATGACTATATCACAAGACTGCTGTTAAGATTTGGGTTTTTTAATGGTGTCAAAATTCACACAAGTTGGACCCACAAGTGTCATAATGGTTAGGTACTGGACACCCACATGGCCAACTGTGGTTCAAGTACTGGACCCAGCAGCTTAAATCTCACACCAGTCTTGTATGTGTGCATGCCCAAAATCTTGAGAGGAGAATGAAGGAGAAGGGCCTGTGGTGTGATCATCCATCCTGGGGATGTTTCTCACTCTCTGTCTCTGTGGCTCTCTGGTGATCATACATGCCCTATTACAATTTTTTTTCTAAATAAATTAATAAATAGGGGCCAGCAGGAGGTGTGTGGTTAAGGTTCTTGACATCCATATAGCTTAGCACAGTTTGAGTCTCAACCTGATGTGTTGTTTTCTCTCTCTCTGCTGAGCACATATGTTCTATAGCAAATAGAAACATAGTAATATATAACATAAAATAAATAATTTTTAAAAAATAAATAAAATTTTAATGATCCCACAATATTCTAATTCTGTCTTATCCCTTAGCAAGTAGAGTAAGGAATAATGTCAGTCATCAATGGCTTCCTCACTAGTGCACAGAAGTCATTTCATTGATACATCCAACATCACTCTCAGGTCTGCAATTCCATCTTGGAAGAAATGACCCTTATGATTTACAAAGGAGTAGTTTAATTTCTAGAGAAGATGGCATTATTTTTAAACTCCACTCATCCACAAAATTAATCCACATATCCTTCAGCATAGTATTTTGTGTTCTGTCCATTGCTAATTCATGTACCAGGTACTCATTTCATGGTTTGATAGGTAATAATAACAAAAAAATTTTATTCTTGACCCAGCATTTACCTCTTGTCATATTTTCTTCTTCTGCCATTCTTTATAGAAATTATTCTTGATAACATTTTCTTGAATTATTTCTTCATTCATTTTTGTATTTCTATTTTTTATTTTTAAAAATTTATTATATACAGGAAGATGTTTTGATTGAAGTCAACTTTGGGGAATGGCTAAATGGAACTATTTAACATATGCTGCCAGTGCTGGCAGGTTGTGTATTGATCAAGGTGCTGGACTCCCACATAGCTGACCACCACTCAAAGCCCAGACCTGGTTATTTCCTTTATCATTTTCCCTTTCTCTCTTTTTCTCTCTCTAGTCAAAATTAAAAATAAAATAATAATAATTCTTTAAAAACAACATATGTACTACCTCACAACTTATGTTTTTGAGGTGAGAACACAATATCTACTCTCATAGAATTCTTTTAGGTATACAACATAATGTAACTAATTGCATTATCATGATGTATATTAGAGCCTTATAATCTGTTCCTATTGCCTAACTTGTATTCTTTCTAAAACCTGGCTACCCTCAGTTTGTAGTATCTGCCATTTTACTTTCTGTTTCTATAAATTTAAGTTTTTAACACTCTACTTATATGTGAGATGATGTGGTGTATGTCTCTCTGTACCTGAATTATTTCAATCAGCATAATGTCCTCCAAGTTCATTCCTGTTATTAAAATAACAAAATTTTTTTCTGCTACTTTTAGGGTACACAACCTCACCATAGACTAAAGGATATAGATACACTCCTTATAGGAACATGGTCATGTTTTAATCCTTTCTCCATTTCTCCATTCTGTCAGGGTTTGGGGGATGCACACATACATATACATAGTGTGTTTCTTAATCCATCAGCAATAAGATTCCAACCATGGTCAGACATGAGAACCCCTGATCTCTTAACCATTAGACTATGAGGCTGAAATAATACATTTATCTTTTATTAAAGGTTTAATATTATTATATTTTATACATATACAAGAGGTTTTAAAAAATAGTTCTTAATTTAATTCAATTATTATTTAATTTGTTATAGGGCACATATACTCATCAGAGAGAGGCAGATACAGAGAGAGAAAGTGAGAAAGCTAGCAGTCATGTCTGGGACTAAAAACATGGTCAGTTATGTGGGAGACCAGCACCCCAATCTCCACACCTGCTGGCCCACTAACAGTTTTTTTTTTAATCCATTTGTCTGTGATATTTTATTAATACCATATCTTGACTATTATTGTGAATAATTCTGTAATGAATATGGAAGCACAAATATATTTTGGGCATATTAAATGTATACCTCTTTTAAATTTATTTTATTTTAGTTTCTTTTATACATTCAATCACTCTAAATCATGTAGCTTGTAAAGTGAATTATTTTTGAAAAATATCAAGTTCTTCGTACTTTTCCCTTTGATTCATTTTTTGAATATTGAGTATTTTATTCATTTTGAATACTAACTCCTTATGTAATACATTATTTACCAGTATGTAAACCATTCTGGAGTTTCTGAAATCTGTTTTTGTTTACTCTGTTGGACAAAATTAGTTTAGTTTTAAATAACTTGATTTGTTTATTGCTTTTGTCTTTGATTTGGAGATCATATCAAAATATACTACAGGGCCAGCAAGTGGTTGTGGCATTGGATTCTCACATGGCTAACAAGGTTTTGATGCCTGGTGGCTTGAAAATTGCGCAAGGTGTGTACCCAGAATCCCAGGAGTAGAATGGAGAAAAGATTGTGACATGGTCATCTTCATGGAGAATAATTTCTTACATTTACTTTCTCTGCATCTTTCTGTCTCTCTCCAGTGAGCATATGTGCTCTGTGGCAAAAACCTTAAAACAAAAAAGAATGCTACACCTACACCAGTAAGGTGCCATGTTGGTAAGGCACTGTACTCCCAAATGCTTGGCTGCAGCTTGAGTCCTGGGCCTTGTTTTTTTTTTTTTTTTTTTAAATCACTCCTAGCTCATGTGCATGTGTCCTAAAAACCCTGAAAGGAGAATGAAGAAAAAAGGATTCCAGCATGGCTGTTCACCTTTGAGGGTGATTTCTCACCTTCCCTGTCTTTGACTCTCTCTGGAAAGCACATGTGCCCGATGACAAAAAGCTTAAAAAAAAAAGAAAAAAAAAAACCTACCAAGAAAATATAACATATAACAAGTTTTGATTTGGAAAAGACCAGAATTAAACTAATCAACTTTAAGTGGATATCATGTATTATAAATTCCTCAGTAAATAAATAAAAAGTTTTATTCATAAATAAAAATTAACAAGATAGTTAATTGCAAAATAGTTAAAAGTCAGGAAAATTATAATGTACCACTGATGGTTTATGAGAATTAAAACAAAAATTAAATATTGGGTAGCTATCACTGGCATAAATACTGTACTGCATCAATTTAACATATACAACATCATTCTGTTTCTTAACTGTAAATATTTTTCTTTTGGGACCAGAAGTTGGAAAATAATGGCTATGTCGCTGGACTCCTATGTAGTTGACCGCAGTTTGAGTCCCTGATCCAGTGGCTTAAGCTCATACCAGGCACGTGTGCATGCATGCCCAAGATCCCAAGAGGAGAATGGAGAAGGGATTGTGGCATGGCCATCCTCCTGGGGGGGGTGATGTCTCATTTTCTGTCTCTCTGCCTCCCTCTGTCTTTCTGGTGAGCACACGAGTCCTATAGCAAAAACCTCTACAGAAAAAAAAAAATTCTTTCAAGAATTTATTAAAAGTAAGAAAATTTGACCATTTTTAGACAACAGATAAAAATTTTAATTTCCAGGGCCAGCAGGTAGCATAGTGCTTAAGATACTGGACTCTGTGTGGCCAACAAGAAATTGAATCTTGAACTCAGAGGCTTAAAACTCATGCTAGGTGCATTTGTGCATGACAAAGATGCTGAGAGGAGAATGGAGGAGAAATTGTGGCATACACATCCCCCAGGTTGATTTCTCACTTTCTGTCTCTCTCTCTGGAAAGTGCACACATCCTATAGCAAAAGTCTCTCAAAACATTTTTTTGTTTGTTTCAGAAGCAGTAATGTAGTGTTAAAAATTATGAAATATATCTACCTAGTAAACCACAATAATTAATAACATTTTCTTAGATACCTTGGAGACAGATATAGGGACTGGAAAAATGTGATTGTGTGTGTGGGAGAGTGGACTCAACTCTGAATATAGAATGTTCCAGTATAAATTTAGCACCTTGCATCAAAGTGGTGGTCAGTGGACTGCAAATTACTATTAGGTAACCTTAGGGCTAAAGGTGATTCGGCTCAAACTATGTACCTTGATTTCATCAAAAAGTGCACAAGTAGAACTTGGTAAAATTTAAGAAGCCTGGCTAAATTATAGTCAAACAGAGAATCTTTGTCAATACAGACAGAATTATTTAAACAAATTTTAAAAACATTTTGGAATAACAGGTGACAGAGTGGTTACCATGCTCGACCCCACAGAGCTGACTTTGTGGGTTGAGTCCCTAACCTAAGAGCTTGAAAAACACACTGAGTGCCTGTGTGACCATGCCCCAAATCCTGAGGAGAATGGAGAAGGGACTAACATCCCCCTGGGGTATGATTTCTCATTGTCTTTCTCTCTCTCTGTCTCTTCTATAAGCACACATGTACTACAGAAAAAAATCTTAAAAGAAAGAAATAAAAGGAAAAATTAAAAACACTTTAATAGTAAAAAGCCACCATTTTTTAGCTGTTTCAGGATTTCACACTGAGGGACAGATGGTGGCACAATGTAAAACACAATGCCCCATGATGGTACCTTACATGGAAACATTTCTGGGGTTCATGTCTAGAGACATACTTGGGTATACTGAGCATATGTGTGCTGTGGTCCAAGGCTTGCTGAGTGTGAGAGTGAATCATTGTATGAAGACTCATGTGACAGTGCTCTCTCATGGAAGAAAAAACTATTTGAAAAAAAAATCTTGGGACCAGCAGATGGCATGGTAGC